AGTCAAGTCTCTAGTAAACTCTAAACTGATTTCCATAGTTGAGATATATTCTTCCCTGAATATCTATCCTTCCTCCCTCCCCCCCCCCCAGTCTCCCGAGCATTCCCCATTCCTCCCCTGCTCCCTTCTCTCTAACCCTCTCCCCTTCCAACTACCCTCCCAACCCCCCATGCACCCGTGGTTACCTGGAACTCTTGTCTATTTCCAATCTCCAGGAGGAAAACTACCTGAATTTTCTTCAGGTTCACCTTCTTATTTAGCTTCTCTAGGATCACGAATAATAGGCTCAAAGACCTTTAATTATGGCTAGAATACACTTATGAGTGAATACATACCTTATTCCTCTTTTTGGGTCTGGCTTACCTGACTCAGTAAAGCGTTTTCTTTTTCTTTTTTTCTATTTTTCTTTTTTTTTTATTTATTTATTTATTTATTTATTTATTTATTTATTTATTTTAATTTTTTTCTGGGAACCCCTCCAGAATCAAACCCTAGAATGGCTCTCTTAGTTGCGATATAAACTTCCCTGCTCCCCTAACCATCCTTCCTCCCTCCCCCCTCCCATTCCCCCAAGCCATCCCCAATTCTCGCCCTCTCCCCTTTCCCTAACCATCTTCCCTTACATCCATCCCCCCACCCCCCATGCACCCGAGTTTGCTTGGCAATCTTGCCTAGTTCTATTATCCAGGAGGATAACTATATAAATTTTCTTCAGGTTCACCTTCTTATCTAGCTTCTCTAGGATCACAAATTATAGACTCAAAGACCTTTAACTATGGCTAGAATCCACTTATGAGTGAGTACATACCATATTCCTCTTTTTGGGTCTGGCTTACCTCACTCAGTAAAGCGTTTTCTATTTCCATCCATTTGCATGCAAAATTCAACATGTCATTGTTCTTTACCGCTGAGTAAAACTCTAATGTATATATGTTCCACACCTTTATTAACCATTCTTCTATTGAGGGGCACCTAGGTTGTTTCCAGGTTCTGGCTATTACAAATAGTGCAGCTATGAACATAGTTGAACAAATACTTTTGTAGTATGATAGGGCATCTCTTGGGTATATTCCCAAGAGTGGAATTGCTGGGTCCTGAGGGAGGTTGACTCCCAGTTTCCTGAGAAACCGCCACACTGATTTCCACAGTGGCTGCACAAGTTTGCATTCCCACCAACAATGGATGAGTGTTCCCCTCTCTCCACATCCTCTCCAGCATAGGCTATCATTGGTATTTTTGACTTTAGCTATTCTGACAGGTGAAAGATAGTATCTCAAAGTTGTTTTGATTTGCATTTCCCTGATCGCTAAGGAGGTTGAGCATGACCTTAAGTGTCTTCTGGCCATTCGAAGTTCATCTGTTGTGAATTCTCTGTTCAGAGAATTTTAAAAGACTGGATTTTAAAAGAGACTGGCTATTTTAGAGGGACTGAAAATTTAATATATTTGAGCTTGTAGAGTAGGATTTTTTAAAGTTAATTATGTTTTAATGTGAGATATTTGGGAATAATAAGAAAGAGATGGTTATGGCTTAAAGGTGATATTTGTGGGTTGAGATGTCAATGAGTGAGCTGTACTGGATGTTTTGTGTGACAACTTGTCACAAACTAGTACCATCAAAAAGGAAGGAGCCTCAATTGAGGAGATGACTCCATGATATTCAGCTGCAATGCATTTTCTCAATTAGTGATCAATGGGGGGGCAGATCATTATGGCTGGTGCTGTCCCTGGTCTGGTGGTCCTGTGTTTTATAAGAAAATAGGCTGAGCAAGTCATGGGAAGACAAACAGCTCCATCCATGGCCTCTGCATCAGCTACTGCTCTCACGTTCCATACCTGCTTGAGTTCCTGTTCTGATTTCCTCCAATAATGGACTATCATCCAGAAATTTAAGACATATAAACACTTTTTCCCCAACTTGTTTTTGGTTATGGTGTTTTGTTGCTGCAATAGAAAACCTAATGAAGACATACATGAACACTTCACATCGTAAAGTCACAGGATGCCCCAAAGTGATCACAGAGCCAGCCTCTGCCCTGATAGTGGAGTTGAAGATGTTCCCTGCAAGGAAGCAGGTGAGGAGTAGGTGAATGTGTTTGAACACTGACACAGTTAAGATCAAATGTGGAGAAGACACATATGTTGATCCTCAGTAGGAGGACATGATATATATGATGCCTATGAATGCTTTTTCTCTGAAGTCCGATCAGATCTGCATTATTTCTAGAGCCTCCTAGATCCTACCACCCAGAGTTTTTAATGCAGCAGTATAAGTTTTGAGTCCTGTTCTTTCCCAGACTTCAAGGCCCACTCCCATATCCACATATCATCCATACATACATAACAGGGTTGTGAAGTTAAAGGTCATGTAATCTTCCAAGGGGCCACAATACCTGACTGACTGGACACAGGGCATGCCACATAGAGAATAATACTATTTGTTATTTAATTGTCATTACAGCAGCTCCACAAGAAGGAGACTCTTGGTACTCATTTCCTGAATGCTCTGGCTAGGGCAGCTTCAAGATTGTATTCATTCCTTACAGAAATTGTGTTGCCCTCATGGATCCACAAGATGCTGAGAATCAATGAGTATTAAGCCCTAAAAGAGACATCTTTGAGTCATGCAAACTTGTATAGACAGTGAGTGGTATGCAGACATTAAACCAGCACTGATCTCAGCTAGAAGGTTTCTGCCCCACAAGAAGCTTATCTCTGATAAGGCAAGAAATGTTCTGAAGGTTTTTCACAGAAAGAGGGGCATTGAATGATATTGGTAAGGGAAAGAAGGAAGAAAGGAAGTCTGGGCATGGTGCCGCATCTGTAATACCACCATAATAGTGGTGACTTGGACAAAAGACATGAATTTGGGAAGAAAGCTTCATGGGGGAATATAAGGGCAGTGAAAAGGTGAGTGGAAACAGATATGTCATTATTTTGTTGTATATATGCAAGAATATTAAAAATATATAGATAAATATTTCAGAGATAAGGTTATAGGTTATATAAAAATATATAGATAAATATTTCAGAGATAAGGTTAAGGTATAAGGTTAAGATACTTATCTTAACCTTAATATGAAAACAAAACCTACAAATATCTAGAAGATATGGTAAAGGCAGTCCTAAAATAGAAATTTTGTGCTCTAAATGCCTATCACAAAATCAGAGAGTGCTCAAACAAAAATGATTTGCTTTAAGGGCTGGGAAAATACTCAAAACACTAAATAAGACTAATGAAGTTAACTCAGAAATAATGAAATATAAACAAAAAAATGAGCCAGAAAAGTGTCTCAGTGAGTAAAAAAGCTTGTAATACAGAGTGAGACCAGAGTTTGATTCCAGAACACAAAGTTGAAGAGGTAATAAAGTCTCACACATTGTATTCTTAATTCCAGATGTAAGAAACCCAAACACCTGTGAATATATGAATGAATTAATGAATGAATGGATAAAATAAATAAATAGGTTAATAAATAAATAGGATGCAGGAGAGATTACTAAGTGATTCAGGGCATCTGTGGGTCTTAGCAAGGACCAAAGTTCAGTGTCTAACACTCAAGGTGGCTCACAATCTCCTATAACCCTAGTTATAGGGTTTTATATGCACTCTTCTGACCTCCCCAAGCACTGCTCATGTGTTTTTCACAAACACACATTTCAACAAAGCACTCTGAAATTTGAAATAAAATGAATAATTTTTAAAAAAATTTGATAAATTTAGAAAAAAATTGATCTGAACCGTCAAATTCTTTGAAAGACTCAATAGCGTAGAGTGTAACAGAATTACCAAAATAAATAACAATGAATCCTAAAGTAACAAGATTAGAGGTAAGGAGACATCATCTGGGCTTGGTGGTACCTGTCCTTAATCTCAGCACTCTACATAGATATAGGCAGGCATCTGGGAGTTTGTAGACAGCCTTTTATGCACAACAAATTACAGGCTAATAAGAACTACATTATAGTGATATTTTACTTATGTTTTAACAAATAAAGCTGTCAAAAGATCAGAAGGGTAAAGCTAAGGCCCTAGAGGTCAGGCAGTTGTGACGCACACCTTTATTCCCAGGATTTGGGAGACAGAGGCAGATGGATCTCTATGAGTTCTAGGCCATCTGGGCTACTCAATATCAATGAAGAAGCAAATCCAGGGGTGGTGGCCCACACCTTTAATCCCAGTCCTAAGGAGTCACACATATCTTTAATTCCAGCACTAGAGGAAATATAAAATGTGGCAGCCCAGCCTTAATAGAGTTAAGACTTCTCTAAATGGCTTGGCTGCTCTTCTTTTCTGGTTTTGGGTTGAACCCCAATATCTGTCTCTGAGTTTTTATTATTTGTGTACAATCTGTTATGGAATTCTGTCTAAAAGCATGTTGTCAAAAATAAATAAATAAATAAATAAAAAAGTATGTTGTCATGGAGCAGACTTTCTAACAGAAGTGCCTATACCCATAGCTGTGAGAACAGGAGAACAGCCCTTTCCTCCCAATACTCTGTCTGAATTCTCTGTGCACATTTTCAGGCAAGCTGCATAGGCACTCCGTCATTCTATTTATGGTGCTCTGTATTTGGTCTGCAGTGACAATCTGCATCTCCCTGAAGTATCTCCTGGTACAAAGAAAATGCTAGACTTTGAGGGGACTCCAGGATGCTATGCAGATGGACAGGATAAAACAGTGAGATAAAAGACCGTGGGAGTCTCTGAGAGAGAACAGCCCTGCCTCAGCCATGTTCACTTGTGGTGGACAGTTAAGAGAGATATCAGAATTGTTTACTGATTTCACTTAGACTCAGTACAATGAGTACAGGTGAGGTAGACATTAATGGAGTTGTATAAATATCATTTAGGTAAGAGTTGAAAACAGAGAGCCTACTACCTTGTCTAAACACAGCACTGGTAGAGTCAGAGCCTGGTGCCTGAGGAGGGCAGTCCCTCCTTAGGCAGATGATAAGTACAACCATGTCATGAGGAGTGTCTGCCTCTAAAAGCCACACCCTATGTTTCCTGTCCCTACAAACAGACATACTCAGTAGCTCTGCCCATATCTACAGTTGGAACCTCTGAGAGTGGATGCCATGACCTTCACCTTGACGCTCCTGCTCTGTCTGGGTGAGATGTGAAGATGTGGAGGGGATACTGTGATCTAGGAATGACATGGGCTCCTCACAGCCTATCATTGGGACATCAGGAAACACCAGGGTTTCAGGAGGTTCTGCAGGTGGGAGGACATGTTCAAACTTCTGGGACAAACCCTTCACATGTAACTCTCTTCCAGGACTAACTCTGGGCCTCTGGATCCCAGGGCTGACACGTGAGTGTTTATATCTCCCTTGGCCTGTGCTTTCCATTGTGACTAAGAGACTTTCCTGGAAAGTGGGAATGAAAACAGCATTTGTATGATGATTCTGGGGATGAATTGAGGGTTATGGAGTGGAGTCCTGCAAACTCTGTATAGACGCCTGTTACCTAGCTGCTCATTTCCTTACAGGGACCCTGCCTAAGCCTATCCTCAGGGTACAACCAGACTCTGTGGTCTCTAATCATACTAATGTGACCTTGCTATGTGAGGGTGCCAGAGGAGCCAAACAATATCATCTCTATAAATTGAGAAGCCCAGATTCATGGCCCATCAAGATTTTACTGGAGCCTGGGAACAAGGTTGAATTCTCCATCTCAAAAGTTGAGCCACACCATGCAGGGGTATACTGCTGTTACTATTATATCCAGGATGGATGGTCAGAGGGCAGTGAAACCCAGGAACTGGTTGTGGCAGGTGAGAGGACATTTATGATCACTAGCCCAAAGGTTGACTGTCAAGAAATATGTCTTCTCTCGGTGGCACCATCCCCCACTTCAAAGCCCTGGAAAATACTTGGACCTGAGGATATTTAAATGATTTCTCCTTCCCTCCTAGGAGTCTACAGTAAACCTAGACTATCAGTCCAGCCCAGCCCTGTAGTGACCCCAGGAGAGAATGTCACCCTCCAGTGTGTTTCAAAGCAGAAATATGACAGGTTCATTCTGATTAAGGAAGGACCACAGAAGCTCTCCTGGATGCTGGACTCACAGTATAACCACTTAACTCAACAATTTCAAGCCTTGTTCTCTGTGGGCCCTGTGACCATCAGTCAGAGATGGACATTTAGGTGCTACAGCTACTACAGGAGTGAACCACAAGTGTGGTCAAAACCTAGTGAACCTCTGGATCTCCTGTTCTCGGGTGAAAAACCTCCATCTTTCCCTAGAATGATCTTAAAACCATACAGGCACTCAGGGAGATCTTGGTGTGTGGTGTATGTGTGGAGTTATGATGCTAGAGACCATTAGCACAGTGCACAGAAGACAGAGGACATAAGATACTGAATCCAAGCAGACAAAGATAACAAAATCTAGGATGTCCTTGAGAGAGATGAGTCTTCATGGGACTTTCTATTCCTCTGAATCAGTTAAGTGCCATCTCCAAGTGAGATATTTGCTTTGGCACACTTAAACAGACCTACTTCTGTCTTTCCTATTTCCTTGTAGGGACCCTCCAAAAACCCACCATCAAGTCGGAATCAGGCTCTATAATTGCTTCAGGAAGTCCAAACACCATCTGGTGTCAGGGAACGTTGGATGTAGAGCTATATGTTCTCCATAAAGAGGGAAATCAAAAACCCTGGAACATGAAGACTCCAGAGGAGTCCAGCAACGAGGCTAAGTTCTCTATCCCTTCTGTGACACAGCAACACGGGGGGCAATATCGCTGCTACTGCTACAGCTCAGCTGGCTGGTTAGAGCGCAGTGATTCCCTGGAACTGGTAGTGACAGGTGAGGGGACAGTTAGCAACTCAGCCCCAGGCTCTACTCTAGGATTATTCCATTACCACAGCATAGCCCTGGAAAACATTTTGGCTATGTGAAATGTACTAAACTTTCCCCTTCTCTCCAAGGAATCCACTACTATAAACCCAGCCTGTCAGTCCTACCCAGCCCTGTGGTGACCTCAGGAAGGAACATGACTCTCCAGTGTGTCTCCTGGGTGAGATATGAAAAGTTCATTCTCACCAAGGAAAATGAGAAGTTTACCAGCTCCCTTAATGCACAGTATATATATCCTACTAGGAACTACCAAGTCCTGTTTTCTATGGAAAACATGACTCCAGACCATGCAGGGACATTCAGATGTTATGGTTACTACAAGAATACACCATACTTGTGGTCAGTACCCAGTGAACCCCTGGAAATACACATCTTAGGTGAGTCAACCCTATCATTGACCAGTTGTTTTATGAGACAATAAACTCTTTGTCACAGTCCACTGCCTATGGGGAGTTGCAGACACAGAATGGCTACATGGAGAGCCTTGTTCTGAGTCATTGCCCCACATCTGTGGAGATGTAATAACATGTGTATGGCAGGAAGGGAGATGATAGGCATTAGGTAAAAACCAACTCCTCAGTCCCTAACCTGTCAGTTTCCCTCTCAGGTAAGCCAGACTGACAATACACCCTGCTGTGTTGGTCAGAATGGACACTTACACTCTGTTCAAGAAAGAATCAGCCCTCTAACCCCTACCACTAAAATCAAAATTTCACTATTGGCAGTTCTGATCTGAATTCTCCATGAGTGTTGTGACCTCCAGTTTTGAGGGCACGTAAAGGTTCAATGGTTCTCAGGATGCATCTGGTGATCTAGTATCTCGTATCAGTGCCTCTATGGGCATAGTCCCAAGTGAGGTGACCCTGACCTCTTGGGGTAACTTAAAATCCACACCCTAGGAGAGTTGTTGATTGAGTGGTATTAAGAGGACAATGGGAAGGGTTAATCAGAAGGCAGTTTCCTGGCAGAGAAGGGGATGCCAGCAGTAGTCCCTCAAGTAATATCCACTTCATACTCCATTGCAGTCTATTTTGGAATAGATAGCATATAAGTATCTTGAGGAGCCTATAGGACAGAAGTAGGACAGGGAACAGAGTGAGAGTCTACTGTGCTAGCATGTAACCTTTACCTATTATTATTCTGTTTCCTAGGACCGATTGGAACACCCAGCAAGCCACCCTTGAGGCCAATGTCAACTGCTAGTAAGTATCAGGTATCTGCATAGGGAGTGTGCTCCAGCCCCAGGATTCCCTACAGCTCTTGGTTCACTGAAGTCCTCATTTGAGTGTCACTTCACCTTGTGAGTGTGAGCAGAAAACTGAGATCCCAACAGTCTCCAGAAGCCCAGGGTTGAGCTTGGACCACAGAAGATGACATCCAGAGAAAAATGCTCTGTCTTGGCCTGAAGGATGGGTGGGTAAATAGTAGGGATCCCAAACACTCACCTCCCCATACTTCTGCTTAGGTCATGAGAACAAACCTCTTTCCTGCATGGTATGGGGATATAGAGGGCTAATAGAATTGGAATGTGGGGACCAATTGGGCAAAAGCTAATAATGGGCTTGATACAGCTAGTTTTGGAGGTGCTGACTTGAACAAGCACTTCCCTTTCTGGTCTGGCTGCTGATTCTCTGAGTATAAATGGGAGAAGTCTGGCTCATGATAAACTTTCTGAGCTGGCCTTAGCTGTGACCTCTCCTGAAAGTGGAGACCTCTAGAATCTGATTCTGCAGTAGTGGTGACATGGACAAGGGTGGGGCACTGGTACATGGAAGGAAATTCAGGATCATTCCCTCCAGCTCATGGGGCTCAACTCTGGTGGAGAGAAAAGGGTTGGAAGTCAGAGTTCCTGGGCTCAACTCCTAGCTTTGCCCCTTCTAGGTAGTTTATCTGAGTCAGGTGAGCTCTCTGGATAGGAAAAGGACAATCCCATGTTCCATGTTTGTGAGGATGGAAGATAATGGGTACAAAGACCTGTATGATCCTGGTACACATTGGGTGTCAGGTATGCAGTAATGGTTCCAACTCATGTCATTTGTGCCTCAGTACTGGAAATGTACCTGAAGATTCTTACTGGGGTCTCCCTGGTTTACCTCCTGTTCCTCTTCATCCTCATCTTTATCCTTCTCCTAAGAAATCATCAAGACAAATTCAAAATGTATGGTAAGTATGATGTTGGTAACCTGGGTCCCAGGTGGTGGTGGGTGCCCCGGTGGACCGTCCAAGCAGATAAGCTTCAGGGAAAGAAGCCTGGGCAGGGTAGTTTAGAAACACTTGCAAATCTCAGATATAAAAACATGTGATCTCAGATCCTGTGCAATGTTAGGTGTTCTGTGTTCTTTTCCATTTACTGGGATATTTTCCCACTTATCTATGCATTACAAAGATCCCTTCCTTCCTTCCTTGCAAATGCCTAGGGAGAGGCTTCCTCTCCTAAGGGACTCTCTTCTTTCTCTCACAGCCCCAAAAGAAACAGAATTGCAACTTATTGCACCAACTGCAGAGCTAGTAACCCGGGACAGAGGTCCACAGAAGAGGAAATCCATGATTGGGGACCTGGACTTCCACCTTCTTGATACCTATCCCTGTCAACTGACATCTCGTTGTCTCTCCAGAGCCAACCCAGCTTCTGCAACCCACGAAGAAAGATTTTGTGAGAGAAAGAGGGTCATGGGGAGGGAGATGTCTGAGGTTTCAGGATTACAGAAGTGGTGAAGAGGTCATGAGGCCTTTGCTGTTAGAATCTAAACTTCATAATATAAACCCTGGGATATCAAAACACTCCCTGGTTCTCTGTCCTACCTGGTACAAGGCAGGAACCTAGAGGTCTGAGTCATCCCTAGACATCCTCTGATCAGGATACATTCTGTTTGTTCTATGATGACAGATGCTTCAATGGAGGACAAGCAGTCTGAGGATGATGTAGAACTGGACAGTTGGGTGAGGTTCCTGTTCCCATCTGCAGTGCTAAGAACTTGGGGCCCAGTATAGATCAGGGAGGCTTCATTTTTTACCCCCTCCCAGCCCTAAACTACATCCATAGCTGACTCTGTCCTTCCTTCTGCAAGCACCATCAGCCTCCTGTGTATCGTGTTGGAGAAGGCTGCTTGTTAGTTCCCAGCCGCTTGACTAGCTTAGACCTAAAATAATAACACAGAAACTGTATTAGTTAAACCAGTGCTTGGACCATTAGCTGTAGCTTCTTATTGGCTAACTCTTATATTAATTTAACCCATTTCTATCAATCTATATATCGTCATGTGGCTGTGGCTTACCGGGTAAAGTTCAAAGCATCTATCTCCAGCAGCTTTATGGTTTCTCACTAACTCCACCCTTCTTTTCCCCAGCATTCAATTCCATCTTCCCTGCCTAACTAAGTTCTGCCCTGCTAGAGGTCCAAAACAGTTTCTTTATTCATTAATAGTAATCACAGCATACAGGGGAAAATCCTACATTACTGTGTGTTCTGGCATCACTGTCCCCTGGTTTTCCTGGGACTCTGTGTCTCCTCCCTCCAGGTCCCTTACTGGCTTTTTGGTATCCTTATTCAGTTAACACACACTTGGAATCTCATAAAGACACATGACTAAGTGAGTCCTAATGCTACCAATACTTCCACTCACTCACACAGTTTTCAAAAGAAACACCCTCCTGACCAGGCTCCCTACAAACAGCAAACTCCCTAGCCGTCCTGAGACACCACAGTAATTGATGCAGAGAGCAGGCAGTGCAAAATGAAAAAAAACCAGATCCAGTGGGTAGACTACGTGGCAACAGGGAGGGCCTGCATGAGTTACAAGGGAGGACACTTAAAGGTGTCTTCTGAGAGAAAAATCGAGATCAAGATGTCCACATCTACAGGGCTAGCAACTACAGGCGTGGGGTACAGCAGGACCAAAGTAACTTTGGCAGAAATGTGGAGTTTTGTTTTGTAGTTCATTTTATGTGTAGGGGTATTTTGGATGCATGTATGTCTGTGTACCACATGCCTTCTTACTGCCCACAGAGCCAGAAGAAGGGGTCATATGCCCTAGAATTAGAGGTACAGATGATTGTAGCCCACCATGAGGGTTCTAGAAACCAAAGCTTGGTTATCTGCAATAGCAGTCATGGTCTTAACCACAGAGCAGCACTCCAGTCCTCAGATACGTGTTTTCTTATGGACTGTATAATTGAGACTAAGAGAGGAAGTGTTAAGAGTTTCATCATAAGAGTCCAGAAATGTGGGAAGGAAGCTTGGAAGATCCAAGCAGGGATATTGTAATCTAAACAAGTCAATCTGGCCATGCTGTGGACAACGGGCCAGAGGAGATCCCCAGGGGAACAGGGAGGCATTGTCTTTACCTTACTGCTTCCATGCTACAGAGACCAGCTGAGGAACAACCCCACGGAGTGATATATGCCCAGGTGAAACCCTCCAGGCTCAGGAGGGCAGGAGCTGTCCTACCATCAGTTATGTCAAAGGAATCCCTGGAAACAAAAGTTGGACAAGTAGAAGAGGGCAGAGAGATGGACAGTCAGGTTGGTCCTGTATCCCCTGGGACTTATGGGTCCCCCATTATCAAGTGTATACATTCTTCACGTTCTCTCCTACTGCAGGCTGCAAAAAATGAAGGTCCACAGGATGTGACCTATGTCCAGATGTGCAGAAGGACACTCAAACTGGGGAAAGCTTCTTCTCATCATTTCCAGGCAGGGGAGAACCCTAAGGAGTCTGGAGTATATGCTACTCTAGCAGGAACTGGACCAAGTCCTGTTTTCAAGAACAAGGAGTAATGACCCTCTGGCTGCCAGGTTGTGTAACAGTGACTGCAAGGGGATTCTGGAAACTTTTGGGAACCTGATTTCACTTTTAAGCAACATTTCACATTTTGGAAATAAAACAGGAGATTTTTCAATATCAAATGAAATGAGAAATAAAATAGAAGGAATGGTTCTTTAATTGAGTGATAATTTTAATAACATTAATCAACAAGGTCATGAAATGAGAAAATTTACAGCCACGGTTTCACAGACTCATAATTCCTACCCACGGGAGGATGAGACAGGAGGATTGACTTTGTTTTGTGGCCAGCCTGGGATACCTAGTGTGTTTCATTTCAGCCTGGGCTACAGAATGAAAGGTCTATAAAAAAAAAAACCACCCAAAGACAGGTGTGGTGGTAAACAGTAGAATCCTAGGATTTGGCGGATATGGAAAAGAGGATCAGCAGTTCAATGTCATCTTCAGCTACATAGAATAAGAGTAAGAGTAAAAGGCCAACCTCTAACACACTAGACCCTGTTTATGAAAAAATAAAATAGTTGAGTCTTGGTGGGCCATGCACATAGGAAGTAGAGACAACTTATCTCTGAGAGTCTTAGTCCAGCCTGACCTATGTAGTAAGTTTCAGAAGAGCTAGGACTACATGGAGAAACTGTCTCAAAAATCTAAATGAATGAACTAGGGCCTGGGAGATGGCTCAGCAGGCAAAGGCATTTGGCACCAAGTTTGATATCCTAAATTTAATCAGGAGAACACATACAGTGGAAGAAGGAAACTGACTCCTCCTCCCAGGGGTTGTTCTCTGACCTCTGCCTAAGTACTTGGTGTTTTCCTCCACACCCAAGAAATAAATAAAGAAATTAAAAATTAACAAGAAAATTACAAATGAAGACTGGGTATGGTGATACAGATCTGTAATCCCAACAAATCTGGCCCTAAACCTGCTGTTCCTATGCCTCTGCTCCTGGCATGTACAACAGTATATTCACTATATTTTCTTAAGTATTTATTTCCTTTTACTTATGTGCATGTATGTGTGTCTGTGTGAGTGTGTGCCTATGGAAGCCAGTGAGGACATTAGAGCTTGACTTATACCTGTTTATGAGTTACAAGCCATGGTTCTGGGAACTGAATGCAGGTTCTCAGTTAGAGCAGGATAATCTCTTTACCACGGAGCCTTATTTCTAAGCTTATTACATCCATTTAAAAGTGTGAAAAGCAGAATACAATGAACAGTTTTATATCAAAGTATTAGGAGATCAACATAAACTAGGTAGATCCCTTGATGTTACTAAAATTATTTTATTTGCTTAATAAATACAAAATCTGAATGGCTTCATACAAGTTGAACACATTGTCAGTAGAAATTTCAGATTTTTCTCTCTTTGGATAGACTCTCTCTGGACGGGTCACTGGTAATTTTTTTATATGTTTGTATATTTGACATAAAGACTTGCTGACACCAAATAACCTATCCAACATAGTTTGTAAAATGAGAAATTATTTATTAATCAGACTGGACAAAGTAGGAATATTAGGAAGAAAGCGCTTTCATATCAGTCTATATGTAGTCCATTAAAAGCTTTATTTAAAAATTCCAAAAGAAAGCCAGACAGTGATAATGCAGTTTTAATCCCCAGCAGTCATGAGACAGCATCAGAGAGATCTCTATGAGTTATAGTTTAAGCTGGTCTTCAGAGCGAATCTCAAGAGAGTCAATCCTACACAATGAAACCCTGTCTTAAAAAAATCATAAATAAGTTTCAGAAATAATTTTTAATGGACATAAACACCATAATGGTGGTTTGGTTTGGCTTTAATTTTGCTTTTTTAAAATTTTGACTTCAAAGACAGTGAATAGCTTAAAACATAAAAATTGCTTGGCCTGGTGGCACATTCCTGAGATTCCAGTTACCTTGGAGGCCTAGGCAGGAGGAAAGAAAGGAATAAATCCACCTTCACTGTTGAGTGATTTCAAATATAAATCTCAAAATAATATAAATTTCAAAATAAAAGGTTAAAGAAGGGCTGGGAATGTAGTTCATTAATAAAGCAGGCATCTGACATTAAGAATCCAATCCTGAGTTCCATCTTTGGTACACTTGTGTCTGTATTCTCAGTTTCTTCTTTTTACTGTTGAATGTAAGTCAGACACGATATAGCCCAACCTGGGCCAACCTTGATATCAAATTGATTCTAAACTTGAACTTCTAATCATCATGCTTCACCGCCTAGATACCTACCTTAACAACTATGCCACATTGCCCAACTCTGAGTCCTTTTCTAGCATCTGTTCTGTGTGCTTATGTTTGTGCCAATATCAATGGTGGTTTTTTGGTGTGGATCTAGTGTTTAAAGCAGGATGTACTGATGACACCAAGATAGTCATTTAGTTTCAGTACTGAGGGTATTTTGTTCACTTTTTAAATGTGCTTGTTAAGATTTTGTCTTTATTTGTGTCTTTTGAGTTTCATTGTATAGCACTGACTGACCTGGAACTTCTTAAAACAAACTTACCTTAAAGCCATGTCTTCAGAATGTTTGGGTGAGAGGTATCAGTCAAGATATCCAATTGAGAATTTTCTAATTGTGTGAGTAATATCATCTGAATTTGCATGTGTATTCTATTGAATTTCTATATTGCTTGGGTTCCCATATCCACAGTCGTATTGCTGATTAATGTGTTTGCAGATCATTTCCTTCTTCTAGTATCTTCAATATGAAAGGTTGTGCATGCCTTTGCATTTGTAAATGTTTGTACATGTGTACATGTAGAGTCAAAGGTCAATGCTGTATGCCTTTCTAAATTGTTCTCCATCTTTTTAGAGGATGAGGCCAGACAGGCAGGGAAACAAGATCCAAAATACCACACTTAACTGATAGCCAATGAATTTGGGTGGGTGGTTTGTCCAGGGTGCTCCAGTGAACTTTATGTCCTACTGATCTTAAATTGTGTTTCTTTAGTGTCTTTGAAAACTTCTTGCTCTTACAAACATTCTATCTCCTCTTCCCTGAACCCTGAGAGGAGAGATTTTATGGACACACCTCATTTATGAGTGAGTTTTCCAAGGTTTATCTGCAAATTGTCCTATTGTAGGTTTCTGTATTATTTCTCACTTGCTACAGCAGGAAGCTTCTCTGCTGATGACTGAAAAAGACATTGATCTTTGAGTAGCCTCAATGTCATTAGAAGTCATTTTATCTACATTCCTTTAGAATAACATCAGTATTCAGTTTACTCCTAGGCCTTGTTGTATCTAGTCTCAGATTGTTGGTGACCAGAACAGTGTTGGGGATTGATTCCATCTCATGGAGTTGGGCTTATATCCAACCAGATATTGGTTGGTTACATTACAAGATTATTTCTACTACTGAATCATACTCTCTTGCATGCAACACACCAATGTAGATCAGAGGTTTTGTTGTCTTGGTGTTTACCTTTCTCCTTTCATATTGTCGATTGTTTCTATTGCTGGAAAGAGATACCATGACCAAGCTAACCCTTAAAAAGGAAAATATTCAATTGTGTATCTTACAATTCAGAGTTTCAGTCCATTGACATGGTAGAACAAAGTGTGAAGGCAGACATGCTGCTGAAGAGGTACCTTAGAGTTCTATGTCTTGTGCAGGTAGCAAGAAGTTGTCTAAAACACTGGGTGTGACTTGAGCATATATAAGACCTCAAACCCCTCCTCCATAGTGACACTTCCTCCAACAAGATCATACTTATTTCAACAGATCCTCCTAAGAGTGCCAACCCCCCAGGGCCATTTTTCAAAACACCACATTCTACTTCCTGGCCCCCAAAGGATTCTAGCTATATCATAATGCACAAATTCATTCAGTCTAACTTTAAATGTCACATAGTATATAACAGTCTCAAATTTAATTAAAAGTCTAAAGTTGAAGATCTTTTCTGAGATTCCTATGATCTCTTAACTGTAGTTGCCCATAAAGTCAATATCAAAGAGCAGATCACATAGTTCTTACATACAATGCCACAGGATATACATTACCATTCCAAAATATAGGGAAGAGAGTATAGTAAGGAAATATTGAAGCAAGACTGAAAACCAGTTGTACAGCTCAAAACTCTACATTCCCATGTCTAATGTCAAAATACTCTTCAGATCTCTAACTCCTTTCAGCTTTTTGACTGCAACATACTTCTTTTTCTTGTGCTGTTTTGATGTCCTGTTAGCAGCTCTCCTTAGCAGGAATCCCATGACTCTAGTATCTCCAACATCTTGGGGTCTCCAAAGCAATTCACTCCTTTCCATCACAGCTTAAAGCAATGAACTTTCCAGGCCTCCATTCAGAGACGCAATTGATACATGTCTGTCATCTACAACATTCCTTAGTAGCAGAGGCAAATTCCACACCCCTTTACTTCCATCATTAACTCCACATCCAGAACCACACAGCTAAAGTTGCCAAGTTCTGATACTTTCTGGGGCCGAAATATGGTTCCCTTGTTTAATTACATACTCACTAGCTTATTGTTTTCAATTGTTGCCTTTATTGTCTGAGATTGGCTATCTTGAAACTGGATCTGTAGATCAGGATGGTATCAAATTATGAAATCTGCCTGTCTCTGCCTGCTTCTGGAGTTATGGGATTAAAGGCAAGTACCACCACATCTTTTTTTTTAAATTCCTTTTTACAAATTGGAAACTTAGCTAAGTGGAATCTTTCACTAATGTCACCACTCCCTTTATTACATTTCTTAATGTGCTCATTTTCTTGAATATAAGATTTAGTTCCATTATAATCCTTAATGCTCCTTTTCTCCTCAAATTTTATATTTTATAATTTACCCTTCTTAACTTTTTTCTTTTCATTATAAATTGTTAGTATAATTATCATTAATAACCACACAACAGAGCCTATACTAGGCTGCTTTGAGATTTTCTCTGACAACCGAATTAATCCAAAGCTCTTCACTTTAGCCTTAGGCAGGCTCTCTGTTTAGGAGCAAAATGCATCTATGTTCTTCAGAAAAATATCATGAGACCAGTTTCCAAGCCACATACTAACATTCTTCTCGTCTGAAACCTCTTGATCCAGGTACCCACAATTCTAACCACACTCAGCATCATTATCTTCCATGTTCCTGCTAGTATGCCCCATTAAACATTTCATAAAGCATTCCACTGCTTTTCTAACCCAAAATACCA